TTGACGACCGCAAGTACGTCAAGTGGGCAGATGATCTTGGAGATGTATCGATGTTCCCTTCGATGAAGGAGAATGTCGAAGCAAGGAGAATAAAGACGAGTAAAGGAATGGAGCCGGTCAGGAGCCAGAGCATCAAGATAATCTTTGAGGGGGATATCGCGACCACACCCATAAGGGTGGCAGCCACCAAGTCGGCAAGAGGGTCTACATCGAAGAAGACTGACACGGATTACGTGATGAGGGAGAAGGACGGGCAGCGGGTCGATGGAGAGGAGGTTATCCTTTCGCCGCGAAAGAGAGGAGTGAAGAAGTTCTTAATGAAGAGTTCGCTGGACGAGATTGACACAGTTGAGTCATTGAGGCGGGCCCTTCGGCAACCAAATGCAGTGCTCTATTCTGGAGTACCTGGCGGCATCGAAGACGACTCGTGATGAATTACAGATGATCATGCGGAAGACTCGCATACCTCTATCAGAGGAGGGTCAAGGGGCCCCTAAGGTGGAAGCTTCTACAGTAGCAGTAACGGGGGTGACTGCCAGAGCGGATCACATGGCGACAGTCCTTCTCGATGGAATGGAAGGTGTGCCTCCAGACAAGTTTTATATACTTGGTAGCGGGGCCGTGGAGACGATTATAAACGATGGAGCGGTACTCGATGCTGTGATTGATAACGACAGTGAGGCTGTCATCATAGACGAGGACCTGGCAGTACAGGTTGGACTGGGCCTCGATAGGTCATACCTATTCGAGATAGAGACGGCTGATGGGAGAAAGCAACAGATCACTGGGGTTTGTCACAAAGCAGCCATAGAGGTCCAAGGGGTACGGTGACCCTGCCTGTCTTTGCAGTCAAGAACTGCAGCTCCGACCTGCTCTTGGGTCGAACGTGGCTGAGCCACGCCTTGGGATCCGAGGAACAGAGCAGCTCTCGCAGTGGGTGCAAGACCCAGTGATCAAATTAAGTCGTTACCTATCTCCGGCCGCGCGGTGCGATTTCGCGAGAAGTGATATGGACCACTGCTCACAGAGGAAGAAGGTCGGATCGTGGAGGTGGAAGACTTAGGGAGTCGGCTAATAGTGGACGGCAACTCGTACCCAAAGGAAAAAGATGAGGAATTTGGCGGTGTGGTATCCGTGTCTTTTTTAAGGGCACGGCCCCCTATGGGAGGCTACCCAAGCGACACAAACGAGTAGCACAAAAAGTTAAGCCAGCGGCGGTGGGCCGCGAGCGATCTGCAGTAGAAGGGATATCGGAAGAAGAGATCGCAAAAGAAATCAAAGAAAGAAAGAAAAACGAGCCGCAACGCCTACCGGAAGAGAGAATAGCAGGGATGGACATCGGAGACGGAAATCTGACCCCACAGGAGCGAGGACGTGTGATAGAAATTCTGAAGACATGTGATAAGGCAATAACTTTCAGCGACGCGGAGCACGGTAGGATTGACCCTCGAGCCAGCAAGGATTTACACGATACCACATGTTCCCTGCAACGACGCGGGATGGAAATACGCCCAGAAGGAGAAGGAAGAAGTTATCACTTTCCTGAAAGAGAAGATGGTTTCCCACGTTGCGGAGCCGTCTGATAGCGCTTATGCAAATCGATGGTTCTTCCTATGAAAGCCGAATGGCAAAGATCCGATGGATCCAGGACCTTCAGAAGGTCAACGCGGTGACGATACGAGAAGTGGGCTCCGTGCCACACGCCGATTTACTGGCAGAAGGCGCAGCAGGTAGGTCGATCTATCCGGTCTGTGATCTGTTCTCAGGCTATGATGAGGTACCGCTTGACCCTAGGGACAAACACCTCACGGCTATGCATACGCCATTGGGACTAATTCAAATGATGGTTGTCCCTATGGGTTGGACTAATGGCGTAGCCGTTTTTCAGAGAGCCATGGTAGCCCTCCTCAAGGACTTCATCCCTGATAAGGTTGAAGTTTTTCTGGATGGCTTTCCTATAAAAGGGCCAGTAAACAGGGATGAGACAGAGGTTGCACCTGGAGTTAGAAGATTCGTCGAGCAGCACCTAACAGATATTTGCGCGGTACTCGAGCAGCTGGACGATGCGAATTTTACAGTCAGCGGAACCAAGAGCCGATGGGCCGTCTCGACTATTAAGATCTTGGGTTTTATCTGTGACTCGAGATGACGCCAAGCGGATTCGGCAAAGGTAGACAAACTTCTGAACTGGCCCTCACCGTTACATAGCCCAACCGAGGTCCGACAGTTTCTAGGAGTGGTCAGTTACTGGCGTATATTCATACGGGGGTATGCGGAGAAGGCTGAGCCATTGAGGTTACTCCTTCGAAAGACTGAAAAATTCTACTGGGATTCTTCGCAGGAACTCGCAATGCAAGAACTTAAAGACAAATTTAAGGAGGGAGGACGTGTGTTGGGCGTGCCATTCTTTGACGATGATACCAAAAGACCTTTCATAGTATCCACGGATGCTGGACCATGTTCAGTGGGTGGTTTGCTGTCTCAGAAGGACGTTGGAGGGAAGGAAAGACCGTTAAGATTTGAGAGTAGGACACTTAATACGGCTGAGCGTAACTACAGTCAATTCAAGAAGGAAGTGTTAGCTGTTCTCCGGTGTCTAGACACGTTCAGACACTATATCTATGGGCGACGGTTCATCTTGAGAGTAGACCCCACCGCAGTTGCCTCTGTCCTCCAGAAGGACTTTAGTCTGACGGACCCGACCATCGCCCGATGGTTAATACGGATTCGGCTATACGATTACACGGTTGAGAGAGTATCTGGTACTAAAAATGCCGTGGCAGATGGACTTTCACGCATCCCTGTCGAGCGTCCGATAGTAGCTGGGGCTCTAACAATGGCAGAACCGAGGCCCGCCGAGAGATTTCTAGCTAATCTTTACGAGGGCAAGTACCGAATAATCGGACTACACCTTACGGGAGAGGAGAGTCAAGATTCAGAAATCCGGAGGCAAGCAGCCCAGTACTGCCTTAGAGCGGGCCACCTTTTCCGAAGGCCAGTAGGGTCGGGAATGCTCTTACGAGTAGTCTATGATCGTGAGGAGAGACAGACAATAGTTGCGGAACTTCACGACGGGGTAATCGGAGGACACAGGGGAGTTAAAGGAACCTACGAAAAGATACGCCGGTTGTACTGGTGGGAAGGACAGTATAAGGACGTCGAGAGGTACTGTATGACATCCGAAGAGTGCCAGAAGAAAGCTCTTGTGAAATACAAAGAGCCACTTCATCCATCCTATCCGACCAGACCAGGAGAGAAGGTACACATCGATCTAGTGAAAATGTCGAGAGGAGTAGGCAATATGAACTACGTCGTGAACATACGAGACGATTTCAC